TGCAATGACAAAGTAAATAAGATACGCAACCATTACCATAACTCAATTTTAGAACATTTTTCTCCTCTAAATAAGATCTCTTATGCCTATTAATACTTAATCCTTTTTCTCACACTAAATCTCAAGCAACAACTAATTTATTTTCTCTCTATTAGTTTGCGATTTATGGCTATTTTATATAAACAGAATCACATAATATGTGGTGTCTTGTATTTGAATTGTTTTATTTAGTGTGCCTTAAGGTTCAGCTACAGTATACTAGACGTCAGAAGTTCAATTTCTAAAATTTTTAAATGATATCTCATTATATATATGTATTACAATTTACTAATTTCTTCAACAGTTGATGAACATTTGGGTGTTTCCACTTCTTGGTATCACTAATAACATTTGTACAAATATTTGTATATAAACTTTGTGTATACATATGTTTTTAATATCTTGAGTGTACACTTAGGAGTAGAGTTAGTAGAGTTACTGGATAGTATGTTAGTTTTAGCTTTAACCTTCAGAGGAACTGTCAGAGTGCTTTCAAAATGGGCTGTACCATTTTATAATTTCTTCACCTATATATGAGGGGTCTCATTTCCTTATCTCCTTATTGACATGCACTTTTGATGGCATCAGAGAACATTAAAAATGGGAACACACTTTATTCCCTTAACTCCTAAATAAAATTATAGAAAATTTTAGAATGTAAAATTAAATAATATTCCTTTAATGGTCCTTTGAATCCAATGAAATTGCATGCAGAAATATAGACCTTGAAATGGCATACTAATACTCTTAAGAATCTTTCAGTTGGTTCAGCGAAAATATGCCTTTATTTTTTAAATGGTGTGATCAAAACTGAAAATAAACACACCTACATACAAACTCCTGAGATTTTGTAGACATCAGAAGATATGTTTACAGTCCTCTTCAAGCCACCTTTATTTGGGAAATATTAATTTTAATTTAGAACACAAGAGTTTCTAATAGAGCTCTAGTATATATAGACAGTGATCTAAATTTCATAAGCAGTTTAAAAAATAGAAGATTTTAGACTATAACCCCAAATTCTGGACTATCAGTGAAATGAATCCTACCACCCTGGTCCTACATACACTGATGAGAAACACACTTCCTTGATGTACTGACTGAGCAAAGACACAGAAGCCAAATGAGTCACCTGGGTTTTCTAAGGACAGAGAAACGAACAAGGAACTTAATGTATTTCTATTTATTATCTACTATGAAATATTTGCACAATACAATCTTACCAATATCCACAAATGTGTATTGCTCAAAATTAGCAAAGTCCCTATAAGCCACTCATTGATAAGGAAAAAATAATTCATTGTAACTAACCATATTTGATGGAAAACCCCAGACTTTGATAATGAGGGTAGAAAGGGGACAAGAAGTCTTCTCATCACACTGTGAAAAGTTGTGTTCTGATCAGTATAGTACTATAGTATTTGACACCCTTAACTAGGGTTTAAGGACCCAAGAGAAGAATTTTGCTCTCCCAGACTATGCAAAACTCTAGTCAAAATGTATGGAGGTAGAAAATCATAAAGGCAAAAAGGAAAAAAAATCATCCTCAGTAACTTATCATGATAAATGAAAAGTTTTCTTTCACTAATTTAATTATTAAGTTAACCATTGTTTAGTATCAGGGTATGTTGAAAATCTTTCTATAAAGTGCATGCTATGCTTTCACTAGCCAATAGGTGGCAAGAGGAAAAGACATAAAAACATGGTTCTCAAAGATGGTCGCACTCTAAAAGCCATGAAAAGGAAAACTTTTTTTATTTTTTATTTTATTTTATTTGTTTGGCCAGCTTAGCCCACCCTGGTTGTGGATCTAGTGTGGCATGTGGTGCTGGGGATCAAATCATAGTCCCTGCACTTGCCTAAGCTTGGCTAGGCTTGCCTAAGCTGATGCTTCAGATTGCTGAACTATCTCACTGGCCCCTGAAAAGGAAACCTTTAAAAGAACTTTCTTGGAGCAAATGCTCAAATATGAGATTGGCTGTGGTCAAATAGTAATTATAAAGAAAAAGAGCTTTCTTTATTTCACTTTCATTCAAAATACCTTAAAAAGCAAAGCAAAACAAACTTCATTGCTTTATTCCATTTGCCAACTCTAATCACTGAACTTCAAAGAATTGGAACCAAGGTAATGCTGGGTATAGTCCCATTGTGTTATGAGTAGGCACACTAAAAGTGTAGTAACAGTGGCATTTTATAATATTAGTTTGTTATCATCACTGTCATTTTCATAGGGGCTCAATGCTATATTTGGACTTGAATCAGACCTTTAGTTAACATGCAGGGCCTACTCAAGCTAAATCAACCTATTGGGTACTTGTTATTCCTCTGGACCAGAAAATGTCAATATGACTAATTAAATCCAGTGAGATAAGGGCCAGCCAATTAGCTCAGCAGATTAAAGCACCTGCAGGCAGGCACAGGGACCAGGGTTCTATCCCCTGGCCTGACTGCCATTCCTGGTCTTGCCCCCGGGTTGTTGTGAGACTGCAATTGAGATTGGTAAGGTGGAAAGTGCCTGTAATCCCAGCTCTTGGGAGGCTGTAAATAGGCAGATCACTATGAGTCCAATCTAACAGTGAGGGCCTGAACACTCTGTAGACCCTTTCCTAAAAATGCAAACAAACAATAAATAAATCCAGTAAGATAAGAATAAACTGTCCCAGAAAAAAAATGCAAAGAGCTAAGGACCTAAAGACCAAGGCCTAAACTTTGGGTTTCACATATTTGCTAACATCTGCATGAAGTCAGGCTGCTTGGCAGAGGTCTGCAATTCAGTTTCTTTTAATTGACCACTCAGTACAATGGGATTTTTTTTTCTCTTTTACAATCTACTGATCAGGGGCCTTTAACTGTCTTATTAGTGGGTTATCTAAAGGTTTTTAATCAGAATTCAGTTCACAGTGTAACTGTTTTCAAAGACATGTTTAATGAAATCCTAAAAGTAGTGGACTTGCTATAGAGAACATTCCTTGTCAAGACTAGGTGATAGTTAAGCACTCTACCTAAGGTATTTAATTAACCATCAAGTACTTGTAGAATATGAACTAGCTGTGTAAACTTTGGAAAATTCTCAGACAATAAAGAATATTATTACCTCCAGGGAGGTTGTTTCTCTCTGGTCATGAAGTGTATAGGTAACAGCTAAAGGTAAAAAGTCACTTCAAAATAATGAAAACAGGAGGGGTTGGTAGGTTAACTGGTACCTACTTACATATTAATAGAAAAAGGCCTTCTTTCCTCTCCTAACCCAATGAAATTCATAGGTATACATCTTTGGGAGGTTGCTCAGATGTAGTTTTGGGAACCTATTCCCCAGAAGCAAGGCTACCTTGTCTCAGAAATGTCCTGTAAGGTTCTAAGAAGGTAAACTACCATCCTGCTCCCTACTAGAGCAAGGTTGCATGCCCAACCTTATGGTGCAAGTCAGGATCATTGCATCTCAAGCATGAATACAGGACTCTCCAGACAACCAGGGATTGCCATGAATTAGGGGAATGTGGAAGAAGGCAGAGAAACTCTTATAGAACCTTGGGAATGGGAACTGAAGACAAAAAGCAAAAAGCTCCTCCATTGTGCTCCAGTTTGACCAAGATGTCAATGAAATCTTGTGTCATGTTTCAATGGAACATGCTACTGCTGTTTTGGCATTATTTAACAATCAATGAAATGAGCTGATTGTGCTTGTGGTGGAAATAGCCTACATTAATCTCCTCAGCTCTTTTTTATCTTTACAGATCATTTAGGAAATGGCTAGGAAAGAAATATGACTTAAGAGGGACCTTAAATATCCTTATTTTTCCTTCTGATATTATCATGTGCAGTTTCTACTCTCCTTCCTTTCCTTGGCCTCACTCTCAATCAGGAGATGCATAATTGAGTTTGGGAGTGGAAGGGTGTGGCAGACTGTCTTTCTCAAATGTGAATTATCCTGGGGAAATCATCATTGTTTGGGTCCTCATTTGGTTTCTTCATCCTTATGCATGACCTACAAATGAACATTTTAAGACTGCAAAGCATTGAAGTGTTGTTATTGACAGTTTTTATTAAATATCTATGATCTACTTGTCAAAAGCTTTTAAAGATTCTTGTAAACATCAAATAAAGTTAAGCGTCAAATAACCCATACTAAATTCAGAGACTCTTAAACTCCACAAAGGATTAATGAGGTGAAAGTGGGAGCCAAAAGGATGGATGTTACCTCTGGCTCCATTCTTCGCCCCCAATTTCATACCTCTGGGCCAAAGAGAGATAAGATAGATTGTAGAGAGACTTCTCCACCCTGGTACTTTGGAACCATTGGTGCGGCTGTGCCAAAAAGAAAGGTGTAACTTTCTCATAGAGGTCATGCATGGCAAATAATGTACCAGCCAAATGGTAGTGGGCAGGGGAACCTGGCAGAAAGCAGAGAGAGATGGCTTGCTATGGTAGGTAAAAGCCTCCCCTCATTCACATGCAGACATAAGCACCTTATTTGTCCCTTTACCCTTCTTCTTTCCAAGCATAGTTGTTTTCTGAAGCAACTCTGATGAGAAAACCAACATCCTCCCACTTAAGACAATGTTTTCCAGAAAACAAAGATTTTAAAATACCAAAGAGGCTGTGAAAGTACTCCAGCTTTGCTTTTCACCTTTTTGTTAGAATGACTTAAGTGCAGTCCCTTTCTATCTCTGGGGCTCAGCTTCTTCTTCTGAAAACTCTAAATGGCAATTGCTGCATTCCCCACTTCAGACTCTGTGTAAAGAGCCGGTGAAGGGCCAACCAAATAGCTCAGCAGATTAAAGTGCCTGTAAGCAGGCTCAGGGGCCGGAGGTTGGATCCCCAGGCCTGACATGTAGGTCCTGCCCTGGAGAGTGCAGAGATGACAATTGAGACTGGGCATGGTGAGGCACACCTGTAATCCCAGCTCTTGCCAGGCTGTAAATAAGCAAGTCACTATGAGTCTTATCTAGTAGTGAGATCCTGAACACCCTGTAGGCCCTTCTCTAAAAATACAACAAAAAATGAGATGACAAATGTAAAAATATATTGTAAAATGTGAAGTTCAGAAGTCATCTAAGTAGTGGAATCCAACATCCTTTTTTTTCCAAAGGGACTATTTTTGGTGTTACTTTTACTATTTTCTTTTTTAGTACCAGGAATCGAACTCTGGGCCTCGAGCTTGCTAGGCAGGCACTACCCAATATCTTTAACCCAGGATAATTTCATATATTTTCATTTTTGATTTTTACAAATCAAGTTTTATCCATCATTCAAAACTGCAACTACTCCCAAAGTAGCCAGTGGCTGTGCTGAGTTGAACAGATCTTCCTTCTAAACCTGATATACTATGAAGGAGTAGGTAACAATCTAAGTGTGTTATTCTACACCTCATGTTTATACCTGAGGCTAGAGGGTCTCATCTTTCCTGTTCCATTAGAAGGCCATAAAAAGAATTCCATTTCATGCTAAGAAGCATATAAAACTGGTGATGAAGGCTCAGAACAAATAGATTAGCCTTTCACCAAACCAGGAAAGCATCAAATGGTCCCTGATATTCCCAAGCAACAGACCCCACTGAAAACATTTTCTCCTTAGTAGCCCCTCCCAGATCTCAGGAATGCACTTTGACTCAGAGGCCAGGCATCAGCAAGCAACAGAAGAGACAAGAGGGAAAAAGAAATAAAAATGAAAAGGACTTTAGGAAAACCCATTTTAAAAGGAAAAGACATTACTTTGAACCCCTACTAAAGAAGAGTATAGACCTATTTGTGAGAAGGAAGACCCTAATACATGGGCAAGCTATAGAGCTTTCATGGGACAAGATTTTGGAATCATGGTGCCAAGTCTCTCCAAAGAGGAATCTCTTTGCATGTGTGTTTGTATGTTGGGGTATTAGGGAGAGAGACTGTAGAAGAGCTAAACGAGTATCATTTCACTTTGTCTCTTAAGTGCTATGTAGATGCTAATAAAGTTCTGAAATCCTCCTTTCTTCATGCTCATAAGACCAAAACATAAGCAGGAAAACTCTTTTCCACTCATTGCCATTCCATCTTCTCTTTTCTACAACCAAGTCAAGTTAGAAACATGTCCAGTAGTTCCAGGCTAGGGAATTTCTGTCTCCAGGCTGAAACAGGGAAGCAAACAATATTGCCAGCTAGTCCTTGGAAAATCGTGAGGAATCAGTCCTTTGTAGGATAAGAAAGAATACATTCCATTGCAGAATACTGGTTGTTGTGGACACCATATTCCTGGTTGTTGCTGCTGGTGTAGTATAGGAATGAGGCCAGTGAGTCTGGGGAGAATGATGAGGCATGACTCTCAGGAGCAGAAGAGATCTGGGAAGAGAGCACATTCCGGTTAGAAAAGTGGGTGCCCATCTCAGTATTTACTTCCTCTTTCTAGTTCCCTCCCAATCATGAATATAGTATTTAAGATCACAAATATGTCACCTACATAGGGATATAAATAATCTATCATGTTGTAAACTAATGGGATAATTCTTCATGAAATCGGCATTAGTTCTGTGCCCTACTTACCATAGAAGAACCTAAAGTGGCACCATACAGTGGGGGAAGTACTCCATTCATACTCTGGTAGCATTACAAGTTAAAGAAGGGAATCAAGTCTATTTAGCCCAAGGCAGACAGCCAGAATCCAGGGAGACAGAAAGTGTTTTCTTCATATTGAGAGCAAATCTACTAGTACAGCTATGCTACATATTGGTCAATAATGAACCCTCTGCCTCTGTCAATAGAAAAGGGAAGACTACATAAATTCTTGGTATAAAAATAAATGACATTGGGGCCTGCCCCTTAGCTCAGTTCTTTAAGTGACTGCTTCAGCAAAGCAGTCAGGCTCAGGTTGCTGGGGTTCGATCTCCACAACTCAAGTCAGCCAAACCTGCCCTGAAGGCATTCGGAGCAAATAAATAAAGAAATAAATAATTGTAACTTTCTGAGCACCACCATTTTCACATCTTGATCTCACATGACTGATTGCAGTTAAAGTTCAAGAATACTGAAAAAAAACTGTATAAAATCATGTATAGGCTATGTGTATATGCAATACAAATACATTTTCATCCCATCCTGAAGATACCTCAGTATGTATATGCAAGTTTTCTAAAATACCAAAAAAATCTGAAATACTTCTGATACCAACAATTTCAGATAAGAGATATTCCAAGTATATTATAAAAATAAATTTAAGTATGGCATTAAAAGGATTTATAAGGAAAATTGGACTAGATTACCTTGAAGACTTGAAGGTACCTAGGTGACTAGTTTAGCATTATTCATGGTTTTTAAATGTATAATCTTCATATTATTTTGGATGGGATATAAGGAGAAGTAATGAAACTGTTGGAAAGAGGTGATAAAGTATGGAAATGAATAGCATAAAAAGTACTTGTAACTCAGCAGTGTCCCAAATTTTCTGATCAAGGAGATTATGGGGCCAAAGAGGAAAGTGATCGATGATGTAGAGTGAGCCTAAGGAGAGTCACATGGAGAGAAAACATTCTCTCAGCCTTTCACAGAGAGCACATTGGCCAAGCAATGGCTGTGACTCATCCACATGGCTGACACTGACAAAGGGTCTACAATCTGAGGTACAGGATCTCAGGATAAATCCTGAGGAAATTTCACTGACCTTATCAGACCCAAAAGCTACAACTCTTGTTGCATAGGTACTGCTTTACCTTGGTCTTAACCATCCAGCAGAAAAGTTTAAAAACGAATTATAAGAAGTAAAGCCATGCTGTTACGTTGAGCTATAGGAGACTCAGGTCAACGATTTCTAACACTGCCAGTAAAGCAGAAGACCCAGTACTATTATGGAATATTGGACTCTTAGAATAGTTTGCTGAGTTAACACATCTGTAATATTCAAATGATGGAACTAAACAAAAAGGTCATACAGATGAATATCCATTTTGTATCTATGTATTCAAAATGGTTAGGATAGATATATAGTTACATTTTCTTAATGAATAGAGGGATTTCTTGTAATAGTGTTTGTAAATATGATATCATGTCTGCATCTTGTATAGCAAATAACCACTAGGAAGAGAGTTTGCAATGTGTTAACTACTGAAACTGTCATACCAATTTGATTTGAAACTGTCTCATTGCTATTTGTCTCTCAATAAAATTATGGAACAAAATTTTTTAAAAAGTTCTTTTTTTTTTAAAGTAGAAATCTCCCCTTTTTCCTGTCTCCTACTTAAGGCTTGCAGAAAATGACTTTATGTACAGATTATTTGCAATGGTGGGGTAGATGAACTGTAATACAGAGCCTTAAAACCTTGGCTCTAGCCTAGTTCTGCCACTGACTCAATCTGTGATGTGAAGTAAATCACAGTTGCCATTTTCATGCAGTGAGACTAACACATCTTGACCTACTTACCACAAAGAGACAGTGCTACAGAGATCAGATAGATTTAGTATATTTAAAAGATATGTAAACTCTTTCTGAGGGCAGTCTAACCCTAACCTAGAAGTGTGATGTATGACTGACTTAAAGGATTAATATTAACACAGTTGGTCCCCCACCCACCCCTGTTTCTCACTCACTGCTGTTCCTTCGCTCCAGTCCTACTAAACCACGGAGGGAAATTCCTTAATGATAACCTCTAATTTTTGGGCTTTCTTTCCCACTTTTCCAGCTTACCTCAGTAGAGTTAAGGGCTTGGAACTTGAAAGGGAACATTGAGCTCCAGCCTATCTCCAGAGTTTTCATCTGTATTCCCCACCAAGGTCTCAACTACAGTATAGGAGGCACAGTTGGAAAACTTTTGCAGGTCCAGCTCTGTGCATTCGATGGGGGTGTGCACCCAGTGCAAGTGGCTCTCGGAGGCACAAGAGGCCATGGGAAAGGATTTGTGTGTGTGGAAGGTATGAGTTGAGTTGCAGTCGTCATCCAGAATGGGGTTAAGTGGCTTGTTCTCAAAGATGCTCCCACTCAGTGGATACTCAGGATTGGTCTCCTGGCCAGGTGGCATGGGGAAGACAGATTCGTCTGTTACCTCATCCATCTCAAATTTCAATGAGCCTCCTGTAACTCAAAGTAGAAAGCCATTGGGTCATCAAAAGCCAAGGTCTCACAAGGTCCCTGCTCCTAGGCAAAAATAAGGAGGATTCTGGGATCTGGTATTACTCAGTCCTACTCTGGGAACCAGAGCACCTAAGATCAAGTTGAGGGGACATATGAGAATCATATCTAAACTGGAGTATCAGATTGAAGCTACCTTTTGCTGAATTAAGGAAATTTTGGAATGTTGAACTTTTACAAATGGCAACAAAGAGCTAGAACTGAGTAGCAGATTCCCTTTTTAATAGGGACTGCACTTTCTGGCTTGCCACATTCCTACAGCTTTTTCTTACATGTTATGGTGGACCTAATCCACCCAGAGTCCTCATTTACATAGCAGTAGTACATGTGTAAGTCAGTCGTTCCTGATAAAGACCTTTCCCAAATGAGAAAAATTTCCCTTCCTCCCTCTTATGGAGATTGTAAAGAAGCTGTCTTCCCTCATATTCCTAGGAGGTACCACATTATCATCTTGAGGATAAAAAGAAGAACATAAGAGTATTACTCTTCTCTCCTAGGGAAGAGAAGGAAGACAATCAGTTCTCAAATTGTCCCTCATAATCATCTTGCTGAGCTCTGTGGTGCAAGTGCTTCATTGCATATGTTTCATGACCATGCACAGGAAATGGAAAGCAGATCTTAGTTGAGATGTGAGCTTCAAGCACTGAGATAGGATAGTGTAACCTGAGCCACCATGTCCCAAGTGCTACCAAAAATTATAAGAGACTGAAGCAGAGTTTGAGAACAGCCGTAAAGAAACAAAGGAAACTTATTTGCTTCTCGAGTTTCTCATACCATCTGCCTTAAAGAAAGACAACTTTGAGGCATTTCTAGGTAAGTGGATGCAATTTGAGAACATATTCTTAAGTGAACTAAATCATACTCACATGCAAACATCACATGATCTCTTGTATGAGAAAATGAAAGGGTAAATATGGGCCCAAGTCTATAACAGATATTGTTAAAAGGGAGAAATTTTTCAAAAGGAAAGAAGAACTTGGGTGGGGGAAGGGGAAAGGAAGAAAAAAGAACACAAAATATTTAAAAATAGTAAAATGGAAACAAAGCTTCACAAATATTGATGGGAAGGTGGATTGAAGGGAGAAAAGGAGATCTGGAAGAGGAATCAAAATATATCATGTGGGCTGGAGAGATGGCTCAGTGGTCTAAAGCACCTACTTAGAACAAGCTTAGCAAAAGCATCAGGGACCGCGGTTCAATCCCCCAGCACCACATGCCAGCCAGCCCTGCCCCCTGGTGGGCTGAGCTGGCCTCTCTCTCTCTCTCTCTCACACAAATAAATAAATAAATAAATAAAAAATTTCAAAATATATCATGTATGGGTACAAATTTGTTATGATCAATATTATCATTGTGTATACCTAAAAATGTACCAACAAACTTAATTTTAAAAAGAAACAGAAGGAAACACTATATGAAATAATAGATTTATCTCTGCTTAGGCAAAGAACGTAACCAAATATCTTTACTAGATTTTTGCAATATAAACTGATAGGACTGAGATCCAAAATAACCAAATAGCTCTATTTAAGAGGGACATAGCCATACATATAGGACAAGGCTTAAAACAGTAGCTTCTTTGGGCCCAGATCCAATAGAGTGAAAGAGATTGCTCCTCTTCTCTGTATCTAGTAAAATTTATCTTCCCTCTTACTAATTCAGTTCTAAACATGTTCATGTTTTAGTGTCCATGTGTGGCTCTCATTTCCCTTAATGACACTAAAGTTGCACTTAACGTTACCGCTCTTGGGTGGAGTTCATAACATCTTACTTGCTCCTGATTATGTACTATGCAATTTCATCCATATTTTTCCCATGAAATTCCTGGATAATGAATGAAGTTATACTAAAAACAGATCACAATGATTTCTGTCCAACATTTTACAATACTATCTCCTATGTGCTGGGCTAGACTTCTTTGGTCTTCAAGATTGATTTGAGGAAAAGAAAAGATGAAGTTTATGTACTAGACACTGGGCTTTCAGTTACTCCATTTTGAAAAATGACTATACTAATAGCAGTCTTCTTAGACATCACCTACCTTAATTAAAACAATGTCTCAGCTGGGGGGATGGTTCAGTGGAATAAGCGCTTCGCTGGCAAGCGCAAGGGCCTGAGTTCAATCCCCAGTTCCGAAAAAAAAAATGTCTCATATATAGCCAAGTGTTCCACCCTTCTCACACATTCCAGTATTTATATTTGTTAATATACTTATAGAGAATTTAAAGAAAACATTTAAAAATTCCAACTCATCCAACCTGATCTCTTATTATTTTATTTATTTATTTTTTTGTGGCAGAACTGGGGATTGAACTCAGGCCCTTGCACTTGCCCAGGAAGCGCTTGTTCTACTGAGCCATCTCCCCCTTATTCTATCTTATTTTATTATTTTATGTTTTAAAAATTTATGTATTTGGTACAGGGTCTCACTATGCAGCTTGGACTTGTAGTGATCTTCCTATTTCGGCCTCCCCAGCACTGGGATTACAGCAGGTGCTTATATCTCTGGGCTATCTCCTTAGCCCAGCACTGAGATTGCAGGCATGTGCCACCATGTCCCGGTTTTGATGGCAGGGCTAGGCACACCCAGGTTGGAGCAGGATTGCACTAGCCAGTCAGGCACTTAGACAGCTAAGCTATTGCCCCAGCCCCTATCTCTTATTTTAAAGACTAGGAAGAAAGACACTTATGAAAGCAAGATAACTTCTTCAAGAATAGTAATTTAAATTTTAAACCTGGGTCTTCAGATTTCTCTCCCATGAACATTCCTATTGTGCTCCTATGTAATGTCTTGGCATCTAGTGAAATATGTCTCCCAAATTCTCAAAGTTACCCTCAGTCATCTTTGAAGTTCCATTCTTTCTATTGCCATCTCAGATATTTCCATAGCCCAAGTTTGGAGAATACCACCCCTTGGATCTTCCAATATGGTAAAGCCCATTAACTCTAAACTCCCCAAAGTTCTTCTCTTCTACTAATAGGAGAGACTTATTTCTAATTCATGTAAAAAGTGAAGCAGCCACCCTTACCATGCTGGCAATGTCTGCTGAAAATCTTCTTGCAGTAGAGAAAGAAGAGCCCCACAAAGGTCAAGGTGAACACTACCAGCAGACCGCTCACCAGTGCAATAAGTATGGCCTCCTGTGGAGGCACTGTAGGTACATCTGCCTTCACTAAGCTCAACTGAAATGCACCTGTGGGACAAAAATGTTGGAGAGGTTAGATATTGTGGGCAGTGAAGAGGCACAATGAAACTGGGCCATTCCCTCTCCCTCAGACCTTCCCCAGTTAAGGCTGTCATGATGGTTTTACTTCTTTGTAGAGTAGGAAAAATAATAAAGAACAAAGCAGAAGAACTCAGACATAATACAGGCATGGTATAAGCTATTGTACTTAAAATTCATGTATCATATGGTCATGCCACATCTAGTGATATAAAAAATTAAAAATTTCATGAACAAGTACAAGATAAATTAATTTTAATATAATCCTAAAATAGGCACAGCATAAACAATCCTAATATGACTTTAATATATATTTTAATATAGCACTTAAAGTAAATATGTAACTAATAAAAAATCAATGGAAGGAAAAAATGAATATCCAAGTTCATAGCAGCACAATTCATAATAGTTAAATATTGGAAGTATACATAGCTCATAGAATGTGTAAAGGAATTTAAATTATCCCATGCATGTTATCTGACCATTGTTCAATGAAATTGGAAATCAATGGCAAAAGAAACCACTTCATAAAAACATGGAAATTAAATACCACCCTCCTGAACAGTGAGTGAATCACAGATGACATTCAAAAGGAAATTAAACAATATCTACAAGTAAATGATAATGTCAGTACCACATACTGGCAATTAAGGGGCATAATGAAAGAAGTATTACAAAATAAATTCATAGTGGTGAATATCCATATTAAGAAAACAGAACAAGCTCAATAGACAACTTAATATTAAACATTAAACTTCTAAAAAAAAGAAGAGCAATTCAAATGCAAAGCTCATATGAGGGAGGAAATTGTAAAGATCAGAGAAAAAATTAATGCAATGTAGACTAAGAAAACAATACAAAGTTCCAGTAATTAAACAAAGCCCACACACAAACACAGTGAACTGTAACAAAAATGTAAAAACTCAAATCCATAAAATTAAAAATAAAAAGGGTGAAATCATGCAGATCCTACAGAAATCCAGAAGATCATCTATGCTACTTAGAGAACCTGTAGTTACATAAGATGGAAAATTCAGAGAGAAGTGAACAACTTCTTAGATCCACACGCATTACAAAACCTGAATCAAGAAAATATTAGAATTTGAAATGAATCAATATCAGTCAGTGGAATTGAAGATGTAATGAAAACCCTACCAACAAAGAAAAACTCAGGTCTTGATGGATTCACTGATGAGTTCTACAAGAAGTTAAAAGAAGACCTAATATGGTTATTTCTCAAACTCTCTTTAATGAAATTGAAAGGAAAGTAAAACTGAAAGTCATTTCTGGAAGCAAGAACTACCCTAATACCAAAACAGAGTAGGATCCAACCAAAAAATAGAACTCTTTCTTAGGCCACTCTCACTAGCATTGAGGCAAAATGTCTCAATAAGATACCAGCAAACAGAATACAGCAAACCATCAAGAAGATTATAAAACAAATTAAAAATCAACATATAGCACATTAACGGAATCAAGGACAAGAAAACTCATGATCATTTTAATAAACTAAGAAAAAAAACCCCAAAGGACAAAGTCCAGCATCCATTCATGATAAAAAAAGCTAAAGAAAATTGGAAATAGGGTATTTATTTCAGTCTGATAAAAGCTATCTATAACAAATCAAAAATCAATGTTGTTCAAAGTAGATAGTAATGAAAGATATCACTCTAAAATCAGGAATAAGAAACTCTTTCTCAATATAATTCTGGAAACATGAGCCAGAGCAATTTGACAAGAGAAAGAAATAAAAGGAATAAGGACAACAAAGGAAGAAGTTATATCTGTTACTTGCAGATGGCATGATACTCTACATAGATGATCCCCAAAACTCCACCAAAATGTGTTTAGCTAAATTCAGTGTCCTAGATGGACATAAATTCAATATTCAAAAATCAATAACCTTCCTATACATGAGTAACAAACTGACTGAGAGAGAAATTGAAGAAACAAAACCTTTCATAGCAGCATCTAAAATGATAAACACCTAAGAATCAATATAAGGAAGAAAGTAAAAGATTTCGACATTGAAAACCTACAGTATTTTAAAAGGAGATTGAAGAGAGTGTCAGAAAATAAAAAGATATCCCTTACTCCCGGGCAGGAGAGAACAATCTAGTGAAAATGACCATATTCCCAAAACTGTCATATAGATTTAGTCCAATCCCATCAAAATACCATAGCAAACTTCACAGAACTAGAGCAAACAATCTTCAAATTCATTTGGAGTTAGAAGAGACCTAGAATAGTAAAGGCAATTCTAGGCAACAAAAGCAAGGCAGAAGACATCACAAAGAGAGTTGCAATTATACTACAAAACTATTGTGATTAAAAACAGCATTGTACTAACCAAAAAATGGGCCTCAGGGTCAACAGAACAGATTAGATAATACACATACAATTTGAGATATACTTAGGTACATTATTTTTGAAAGATATTCTCTCTAGTAGGTGATGCTAGGAAAATTGGCTTTCCACATGCCAAAGATTCAATCCAGACCTATTACTTTCAACATAGATTAAAATAAAATAAAAATGAATGAAAGATCTAAATACTAGAATAGAAAAACTAAACATCAACAGTACTAAATAGAATATGGAGAACTCTTGAAGACATTGATGCAAGCAAAGACTTCGTGAAAAATACCCCACTTGCATAGCAACTGTCACAAAGAATCAACAATAGGCATCTCATCTTACTTAAAAGCTTCTGCATAGGAAGAGAAACCAACAGAGTGAAGAGACAAATGAAAGGGTGGGAAAATATTTTTTCCAGATATTCTTCAGACAAAGGACTATTATTTGGAATATATAAAAAATTCAAAATACTAAGAACCCCAAATTTAATGATCAAGTCAAAAAATTGGCATCTGAAATAGAAACTTCTCAGATGAAAAAGTAGAAATATGTATAGGCATAGTTGAAGAACAACAACCAAACTGCATGGAAAATAATTCAAGAATCGACAACTGGGATTTCATTTTATTAAAAAGTTTTTGCACATTAAATACCCATGAAGTGAAAAAAAAAACACGAATTGGAAAATAAGTTTAGCCAACTGTCCTCTCAAAGGACTTCTATCTAGAACATATAAAGAATTTAAAAATCAGGACACCAAAATTCAAAGACACAATCCAAAAATGGGCAGCTGAGATGAATTATCAGATGAAGGAATACAAATGGCAAATAAATATAAGAAAAAATATTCAACATTATTGGTCTTTTGGGAAATGCAAATTAAAACAGCTTCGAGTTTTTATTTCACCAGCAAAAGTATGGCTATCATCAAAAAAAAATCAAGCAATAACAAATGGCAGTGGGGCTGCGAGGAAAGAAAAACCCTTCTTCACAGCTGGTATAACCACTGTAGAAATCAATGTAGACATTCCTCAAAGAAATAGTATTAGCAGCCCCATTTGACCCAGCTATTCACCTCATGGGTATTTTTCCAGAATTGAAATTATACTGCAGCAATAAATATGCACCCATGGTTATAGCAGCAAAATTTTTAATTGCTAAATCTTGGAAAGAACCCAAATGCCCATCAACACAGGAACTGATAAAATGACATGTTATTTTTACACAGTGGAGTAATACTCAGCTGTAAAAAAGGTAAATGTGAAGCTTTTATAGGGAAATAGATGCAATTAGAACCATACTCAGAAATGAAATAAATGAGACTTTCATATGTAAACATCATATTGTTGCCCTAATGTGTGAAACTGAAAGAGTAAATAAGACCAAAGGTACAATAGAGGGCCAACCAAATAGCTCAGTGGATTAAAGCCCCTGCTTATGCAGACACTGGAGCCTGGAGTTCGATTCCTGGGCCTGCAGTGCTGGCCCTGCCCCCAGGTCACCTTGAGATGGCAATTGAGACTGGGCGTGGTGGCGCACACCTGTAATCCCAGCACTTGGGAGGCTGTAAACAGGAGAATCACTATTAGTCTGTTCTACACAGTGAGACCCTGTAGACCATATCCTAAAATAAAAAAAAAGTACAAGAGATATGAAAGGAAAAGAAACTGCTCAAAAGAAAAGAACAATTTCAATAAGGGAAAGGATAAAAGAAGGGATATGCATACACAAGATAGCATATATATATATAGAACAGAGTCTCATTATGCAGCTCAGATTTGTAGTGATCCTCTTGTTTCAGCCTCTTAAGCACTGGGATTACAGGCATGCACCCTCATCCCCATTTTCAGTGGCCAGCACAGCATGCCTTGGGTGGAGCTGGCACAACATATAGTACTGGGCTTTGAACCCAGGTCCTTGTGCTTGCCAGGCAGATGCTTAGACCACTGAGCTGTCTCTCGTGCCCAGTGCTTATGTTGTTTGGTCAATCTTACATGCACTGAGCCAGCCACCAAGACCAGGCATGGTGGCACACACCTGTAATCCCAGCAATGGGGAGGCTGAGAGCAGGAATATCACCATGAATCCGAGCACCATAAGTCCAAGCTCCTTTGTGAGACCCTGCAACAATCAAATATGTATAAAAATATTGCCTGGTATTTCTTATATGAGATATCTAAAATATCAATAAGGTGCAAAATAGAAAATACATGAAATAAGGAGAGAGATCTTTTACAAAAGAGAAGGCAATCAACAAATGGAGGTAAGGCAGGAAGAGGGAGTAAAGAGATAATAAGGGAATTTATATGTGTTATGTACAAGTACCAGATACCCTCAAGCAATTTAATTATATACTGTAAATATATGGCAATAAAAATAAAAACTCTTTGAAAGTGAAAATAAGATTGTATAGCTTGATATAATTTATATTATATTACTTATTATATTATAAAAATAATATGCAAAATAACATATTACTCAGGAATATATATATATATATATATATATTTGACTGAATAGTAGAATTATTTAAAAATTAGGGGAAAAGAAAAGTATAAAGACGAAGTATAAGAAGTAAAGCCATGTTGTTATGTTGAGCTGTGGGGACTCAGGTCAATAATTTCTGACATTACCAGTTAAACAGAAGACCCAATGCTATTATGGGCTACTGGACTCTTTTAGAATATTTTGCTGAGTTTACACACCTATAATATTCAATAACGGAACTTAGAAAAAATGGGGTATACCGATGAATGTCCATTTTGTATCTGTGTATTCAAAGTGGTTAGGATAGATATATAGTTGCATTCTCTTAATGAATAGAATGATTTGTTCTAATGGTGTTTGTAAATAGGATCTCAAGTCCGCATCTTGTACAGCAATTAACCACTAAGAAGAATATATGCAGTGTGTTATTAGGTGAAACTGTACTTCCAATTTGATTTGAAACTGTCTCATTGCTATTTGTTTATCAAAAATTTTTTGAACAAAAATAAAAAAATAAAAATTAGGGGAAAGTATAGCAGCAACATACTGCTCATCAATTATTCACTTGTGTCCCTCCATTCATGTTACAGGAATACAGAGACTTCTGGATAATGAAATGTACATGTTAATATGTGTAATATTTCTATCCTGAGGCAATTAACTTTTTTATTTTTGGTGGAACCGGGGATTGAACCAGACCCTTGCATTTGCCAGGGAAGCGCTTAGTCCACTGAGCCATCTCCCTGGCCCTTGAGGCAATTAAAAGCCAGAATGTCTCCATCTTTTCCTCTGTTCCATTCATCTCTAATTTACACAGTCTAGAAGCCATAGTGACACAATGGGAAAAAACTTTGGAATAGTGTCTTTTATTGTGCTGAATCACTGAGATTTGAGGGTACATTTGTTATTGTAGCATAGCCTATGGACAGGATGCGCACAATTTCAGGATAGAAGTTATGGCTTTGGAGGTGGGGAGAAAATGAGACTCAGAGATGCTAAAAGAAAATGCTAGTATACTTGTGTAATCTTTGCTTTTAAAAAAGATTGAAAGCAAATATAAAATATGTTAAGATTTATTGCCTTTGTATCTTGAATAATTGAACATTTTGTCTTAATTTTCTGTGCATTTAAAATACTGACATGTCTTAAATATTGCATCACCTTAAGACATGTATCAATAATTTGTAAAGAATGAGGGATGATAGATGGTATACAAAAATGACAAAAGGATAATGATGTAGGCATATACTAGACTTGGGCTATGAGCCCAAGCATGATTAAAGAGATGGTAAGTATTCATCTGTGGCTCACAACATCCAGGGTACATTACAGAGGAACATATATTGTGGGAATACAGTATTTCTACCCTCTGGGATCCTAAATGGTATAGATAAATTCATCTCAGTATACTGGGCTCACCTGATGATTATATAATTTTACAGTGTACCGGGAGGTGTGGAGCTGTACAAATCTGGCAATACTGTAATCACTATAATTATTACACATCTCTGTTTTATAACAATTTTTCAGATAAAATATAGCTAAGCCTATGTCAGGTTTTCATTAAAAAATAACTTTTACTCCAGATCATGATGAAAATAATAGGATTGAATGCCAATGATATGAATGAGAGATCTCACTTGCTCTTGCTTCAACTTTGGTATCAACTCAGTGACACTCTGACAAGTATCTTCCAGCCACAAACCACAAAGGCTTTTGGGACATTTAGAAGTCCTAATACCTCTGCAGGTTTGTCATTTTTTTAGTTTTTTTTTTCCAGAACTGGGGATTGAACTCAGGCCCTTGAGCTTGCCAGGCAAGTGCTTATTCTATTGAGCTATCTTCCCTGACCTCCTTTTCTTTTTTGACAAGGTCTCACTGTGTAGTTCAGGTGGTCCTGAACTCTCAATGTATCCAAAGCTGACCTCAAACTCATGGCAATCCTCCTAACTTATCCACTAACTACTGGGATTACAGGTGTGCACCACCATGCCTGGTTACCTGTGGAGATTTAAATAGGTGATAGGTAAAGATTCTTCCAGCTTTGCCAGTCTACGCTCAATAGGTACAAAGCGTGATACCAGTTAGTATTTTGTTGCTCAGTCGGTACAGATTTTTTCTTTGGGGTTTTGAAAAGTCTTGGAAATAGAAAATGGTGATGCACAACATTATGCATGTGACCAATGCACAATGTTGTGCATCACCAATGCATTATACAATTTTTTTTCAGCATTTTGTAACTCTTAAGACCTAGGGATTTCTGCACACTTTGTAAAACAAAATAACAATCACAATAAATTCACTCATACATATTCAAATATTATAACTTGTTATTTTTAATATTGGTTATTTCATTAGTTCCAGACAACCATCTCATAATGTAGTAAGAAAAAATGATTTATTATGAGTCACATGTTTTCATATAAGGAAAATGAAGTTCAATGTGTTTAAATGATTTGTAGAGTGTTACATACGGATTAGATTGCAAAACCAGAATTCAATCGATTCTCTTGCTGTAATACTCCAAATAATGAAGTTTGATTTGAAGGAATACTCATCTGCTCTACAAGTACTCTTTCTTATACTGCCTTCCTGTCACACAAAAGGTTGTCAAAGAAGGGAGACAAGAGAAGTAGATACACACATTGAACCTCAGAAGTGGGGGTCTGTTTCGTGCATGGTATACACTCTTGGTCTTGCAGGCCTCCAATACGTGTCTTTTGGTAGAACCTGTGGTTAGAACAGTAAGGAAAGGTACAATGATGAAATAAGCAATGCACTTAGATCAGTTCTTTCTGAGACCATATGAAGTTTCTAAGAATTTTCCCTCCTACCAGTCTGAGCCTGCTTCTGAAAAGTGCTCTACCTTCATGTTTGCTTTTAAAAGGCTCAGACATTCTTTTTCATTTTTCCTCATTCATCACACATAGGCAAAATGGTAGGTAATTCTATAAGAAATGCAAAAGAGCTATTTTTTTTCTGCAACTGCTTGGATTGTTTTAAAAGCAGAACATCAGTGATCATGCACCTCTGGTTTAGCTAGTGCTTAAATCAAAGTCTTGAAACTCAGATTTAAATGTCTGACTCATCCGGCAAGTTAAAATATTAAATGCTTTCATGGTTAAGATTGGCCTCTTAACGCATTCATTTTCTACTGATCTTTGACAGTAGGTCATTTTCCTTTATTTCCCAATTTTCTTTGATTCTAAAGAGTAAAACTAAATAGCAGAAATAAAGATTAAAAACAAACTAACAAGAGACAGAATGAATGGTACAGAGTTTCAAAACAAGAATAAAAAATTTACAATGGTTGTTATATTACATATTTTGATTATTAAATCTTTTGTTTAGATTAATGGATATAGGTGTGCAAAATTGGTCAAATAATTACACCTTAATGTATACTTTCAATAAACTTTAACTTTCTTGTCCTCTTTTACTTTGTTTTTTTAAAATTTATTTTAAAGAGAGAATACTAAGTGATAAGGCATTAAAAATGGTACACATTTAGAAGAACAAGATAAAAGGTATTCAACAATGGTTTTCATATTGTACTTTTCTATCTTCGATGTAGTTACTCAGATTATAAATAATGGCATATAGAGTTAGGCAAAGTGAAAATTTTAAACATTAACTACTATTTTCAAAAAATTGATGGAAATGAGTACTACAATTATCTCAGCTATTCTAAATACATACTTGCATGATTTTTCCCCTTACTTTTTTTCCTATCTTTTTTCCCTTTCCATCATCCATAAAATCATCCATTTTACTATGTCTGTTGGTCATTTTAGATTTCATTTATTCTTTCAGGTTCTTATACTAGGGAGAAAATATGGTACTTACCCATGTGGGTCTGATTTATTTCACTTATGAGTGTAGCCTCTAGTTGTACCCATTTAGCTATAAAGGCCTGAAGTTTGTCTTTTTTTACAGCTGAGTAATACTTCATTGTATAAAAATAGCACATCTTTTGTATACATTCCTCAGGTGATGGGCATTTTCCTTGTTTCCAAGATTTGGCTATGAGAAGTTATGCTGCTATAAACATGGGTGAAAATATATCATTGAGACATGATGTTTTCTTTTCTTTTGGAAAAGTACCCACAAGGGGAATAGCTGAGTTGAATGGAACTTACAATCCTAGTGTTTTTTAGGTGTCTCCAAACTGATTTCCATAGTGGTTGTACTATTCTACAATCCCATCAGCAGTGGAGAAATTTTCCTTTTCCTCCACAGCCTCTTTAGCATTTGTTACTGATTTTTTTATGACAGCCATTCTTTCTGGCGTGAGATGGTATCATATCTCAATGTTGTTTTAATTTGCATTTCTTGGATGATCAGTGCTGTGAAACATGTTTTCATATATTTATTTGCCAATTGTATTTCTTCCTGGGATAGGAACCTTGATCCTAATTATTTCATAATTTCTTTTATGCCTATAATGATATTTACTTTAAAACTTGGGCTTGGGTTCTGAGTGCCAACATGTTGTAAAAGCTGTTAAGTATTTATCTGTGGCTGACAATGTTCTTGGCACATTATGGTAGGATTTTGGGAGAACACTATTTCTTCCCTCTTGGAGCCCCAGTAGAATATATATATATATAGATATAGATATAGATATAGATATAGATATAGATATATATGGTAGTTTGACTAGGATATGAGAAGTAAGGATGATAAAGGCATAAATGCGCTAAATAGAACTGGTGTATAAAAGTTTGGTTAAACATAGTGGGTTTAGGCCTGGCCAGATAGCTCAGTGGGCTAAAGTGCCTGCTTAGGCAGGGTGTAGGGACTGGGGTTCAATCCCTGGCACCACAAGCCATACAGGCCCTGCCCCAGGGTCGTGGTGAGATGATAATTGAGACTGGGTGTGATAGCACTCACCTGTAATCTCAGCACTTTGGAGATTGAAAACAGGAGGGTCACTACAAGTCTGATCTGTGTAGTGAGACCCTGTAGACACTGTACTAAATACATTAAATAAGTAAGTAAGTAAGTAAGTAAATAAATAAATAAATAAATAAATAAAGTGGGCTCACCTGGGAAGACACTCCCCACAGATAGCATTAGATGTAGCTGTGCAATTGGCCTTCTGGATACGATTGATGACAGCACATGTGATGCAACTCTGACATCTGTGGTGGCCCCAGTTGTTCTTGTACCTCCGGGGAGGGCAAGTCATACAATATGCATCTCGACCCTCTCCATAACCACAATCCTGTAGAGACATGGAAGTCACTAATGTTGCTTGATAGAAACACAGAAAGGATCTCCCATGGGAGAAGTAATAGTAGTATAGAGTAGTATTTTTTATACTGCAAGTAGAAACTCCATTATTAGGTCATATAATCAACTCACTTGGTTGTAGACAGAATTAAAAATTGAAATAGAACAAAATAAAATAATGGTATCAAGTATTATAGTGCATAACATGAAGTAAAGGTGTTTGTATGAGTCAACTTAGGCTATACTATAACATGACAAAAAGCAAATCTTAAATATCTATGTCTTAAAACAACAATAAAGTACTTTTGTCACACCATTTTCCAGGGACTTTTGAAGCTCTACCCTGCAATATCTTTATTTGTTTATTTTGGCAGAACCTGGGATTGAACTCAGGCCCTTGCACTGGCCAGGCAAGCGTTTATTCTACTGAGCTATCTCACTGGGCCCCTCCTTGCAATATCTTCATTTGGCACCAAAGATACAGAGACTTCAACTTTGGGCTGCAGTGACAGTAGCCTCCAGGTAAAGAGAGCATTGTGAACTCCATGCACTGGCTCTTAAAATCTCCCAACCCCAAGTGACCCACCTATGTCGTAGGCCACAGTGATCAATATTAATTGTAACAGGTATAAAAATATAATTTTATAGTGTATCAGAATGTGGACAGAAGTACATGTTTGACAAATCACTATAATTACTATTCACCTCTGTTCTATAACATTATTTTACAGGTAAAATAAAACATAGCTAAGTAAATGTCAGGTTGTGATTAAAATAATTTTTATTTTAAGTCATGTAAAAAATGGTACGAATTCCAGTGGTGTAGATGAGAGATAAATGATCTAGCTTATTATACTTCAACTCAAGTGACACAAGTGTCTTCCATCCATACAGGCTTTCAGGTCATTAGAGCTCCCAATACCTGTGCAATTTTAACAGAAGGTCTACAAATACTTGCCCAGCTCTTGACATCCTAAGCTCATAGCTTTTTGTTGCTTAGTGGGTATAGATTTGCTCTTTGAGGACATGAAAAAGTTTTGGAAATGAAAAATAGTGATGCCTGCACAATACTGTGCATGTGACTAATGATAATGTGCTACATACTTAAGATGGTAAAATGCCACATTTTATCTTATGGATTTTACCACATAAAAATACAATATGTAATATGCCCAATACTCTATTTAAATTATGTGGTGTATGGTCTGTACTTTAGTAAGGTTGCTGGATAAATGGCATAGCCTCCATAAGCTTGACTTGCTCAATGACAGAGAAATGATCCCACTCCCAAATGCTGATTGGAATCAGGAATAAATTCACATAATTCGTTATGTTCTAAAAATTTAGTATTTATTTGCTGTGTCAGTTGGCATTATCTTAACTAATATAATGTCTAAGTTGCATTTTATCAGCTTTGTGACATAAATGAGCACCAGCTATCCTCTAAACTCTCCTGCCCTTCTGTGACTTTACTTACCCATTTTTGTCTTACTCAATGTCTTATAGCCCTATTTACAATGATCCCGTCTCTGTTGCATTCCAAGAGATTATGACATGGATTGTCAGCATTTTAATTATAATATAGATTTCTTGAGAAAGATAAAAGTCTTCTTGGAGCCTCTACTAACTTAGATGAAATATGAAAATGATGATAGCTGCTGTATCTTCTTTATAGAGTAGTCTGAGGAACAAAATAATAGGAAATAAATACAGTGTCATGATGAAAAGCCCTGATAGAGTGTCCACAAGCTCTAGTTAATTCTCACCACAGAGCTGGGGAGATACCTCAGTAGAATAAGCACTTGCCTGGCAAGTACAAGGGCCTGAGTTCAATCCTTGGTACCAAAAACAAAACAAAACAAAACAAAACAAAACAAAACAAAACAAAACAAACAAACAAAAAACACCCTCTCAACTCTTCTACTAACTGGGAAGGTGACTTCAGGCAAGGAACTAGGTATGAATTTTCTTGTAAATCAAACAGAAAATAATGTTAAGTAATTCTTGTCTTTGTTAAGATTGCATGATCTGACCAAATAAAGAAAGCATCTCAATAGGAAAATGTTGCATTTTTAATAGTTGCATTAAGTAAATGAAGAACTATGTGAACAACAATACAATTTGACCCATTCTTCACATAGTAAAATAAAATACATTCCTGTAAATAGATATTTAAATACACAAAAAATTTCATAATTATTAGACCAGTTATAGATGAATTTCTCATTAATCTGTAATAGAGTAATCTACCTAACTATAACTTAAAAAATTAAAAATCCTTAAATCAAAGATAAACAATTCTAATTACATAAATGTAAGTAAACTTTCATATGACAAAAGATTTATCAAAGAAGTCAGAAAATAAAATACATGCATCTCTTATCACAAGCTTAAAATACATAATCCTAATAATCATTGTTGAATTCTTATCATTTTGTGTAGTGAAATTTTGTATCATTTCTAATTTTTTTTTACTATATTTGGTGTTCTCTTTAAAAATAAAAAAGGGGCCAGGGAGATAGGTTGGTAGAATAAGTATCTGCCTGGGGAGTGCAGGATCCTGAGTTCAATCCCTGGTACCACAATAAATAAATAAATAAATAAATAAATAAATAAATAAATAAATAAAATTAAAAAACAACTCTGTAGAAGGCAAACACAGAACTCATGGAAAAATTAAATGATTGTTAAACAGTTGAAAAATAATCAACTTTACTCAGAATCAAGACAATAAAAAGGAAAAAAAATCAACAAAGTCCCATTTTTTGGCCCATCAGGTTGACCAAGCTGCAAAAGTCTGACAACATGCTACATTGAAAAGGCTGCGGGGAAACAGGCATAGTGATATACTGTTGATAGCCATACAAAATGACAAAAACCTATAAAACGTGGTTTAACAAAATCATGCAATTACTCTTTTATCAATAAATCATAGGACTGGCCAGAAAGCTCAGCAGACTAAAGCGCCTGCTTCAGCAGAGCATAGTGGCCAGGTTCAATCCCAGGCCAGCAGTGCCGGCCCCGCCCCTGGGGAACACTGACACTGTGATTGAGATTGGGCATGGTATGGTGGTGTATGCCTGTAATCCCAGCACTTAGAATGCTGAAAACAGGAGGATCACTATGGGTCCGATTTATGTTGTGAGACCCTGTGCACCCTGTATACCCTGTCCTAAATTCATAAAAAATCATATATCTTTAAATGTATTGCACAGATACAATGTCAAAACTACAAAAATAAAATTGCATGAGGCTATTCAGTGTAACATGTTTATACTGGGAAAAGCCTGGAAGTAGTCCACTCTCAATTAGGGGAGATTGAATAAAGTATGTCATGTGCACAAGGAAGAGTTTTGCAGTTATAAAAAGGAATGAGGACTATCTATAAATAATACAATAGATAGATCTTCTATATATATTGTCAACAAAAAATTAAATGTTCTAACTTCTATCCAAAAAGCAGGGATTTGATCCAATTAAACACACACACACACACACACACACACACACACACACACACACACACACAGAGTTCTGTTTATATCACAAAAGCAAACAGCAGAAGACTATGTTATCCCACTAAACTGAAAAATAAAAACAAAGAGAGCAGAGAGGAAGATAATTACCTGAAAAGGGAAGAAAGAGAAATTTTGAATGGGATAAGAATGTAAATGAGAACTGTGTTAATAGGCAATTTAACGTATTTTATAGATTTGAATTCAGGATTATATAACTATTTTACAATAAATATAAAGCAAGATTAAACTGCAATTA